CATGAGCGTATGTGTGTGTGTGTGTAAGGGCACGGGCTTGTTTGGGCATGCATGCAAGTTAATTTCAGCCATATTGCATTACTGGCGTTTCACTTGCATTTCCTTCCACGCTGCATCCATCCAACATTCATGGCATTCGGACTTGAATCCTGACTCGGATTCTCTTCTTCATCGCCGTCCTCATTCTCATTCTCATTCTCATCAACATCAATGCCATCAACATTCTCATTGTCATCATTTTTCCACACTATTGACATTTGAACCGCACAGGACCCGGGTCCTTAGCCAGTTTTGCTGGAAGCCACATGTTTGTGTTTCTGCTCATGCAGCCTAACTTCATATGCTGCCGGTTTTCGGGGGGGGGGGGGGGGGGGGGGGGGGGGGGGGGGTTCCATGGGGAGCTGGGGATGGTTGGATTGGATGGCTGCTCGACTGTTTGTCCAATCCAACCAAATCCCCGAATTGTCGGTGTGTTTTGTTTGCTGTGACGGTTTTATGGAGGGCCTTGTTACCCACTTTGGTGTTGTTTTATTGCCATTGGCTGATATGGCTGTTGATAATGTTTGGACGGTTGTGGCAAATTGCGCTTCATCAGGATGCATGGCAGCGACTGGAACGGGACACTCAAAAAAAAATGGCATAGTTGTGTTTGTGTCACTTTAGTGGCTTTATTGATGTCCATATGCTGTCCTTTCAAATTTAGCCATAGGCAATTTTGGATATCACCACCACTGGGGTTTTGACGGTTGGGCGAGGTTTCGTTGGACGGCAAGGGGCATTTGTAAATTTATTAATTTGAAAAAAAAAAATGCAAAAAAAACAAATGCATTGCAGAGTTAATAGAGTAGAAGGATGGACTGTCATCCATGCATTCACAATTGAGAACAAAATAACTATTGGGACTGGAGACCACTTTCAATATTTTAGGTAAATTAGAACACATATCCATCTGTTATTTTTGAGAATAAAGTTGAAAACAATTTGCATTTTTATGTTGTGATCTGAATTACATACTGGACTATACTTACTTCCGGAGAAGGAATCTTAACACCAGGTAATAGAATTGTATGTTTTGAAATGTCTTAAAAAATTTCCCAAAATAGATTTTAGTTGCCTTCCATGTTATACTCTTCGTTTGAAACGTGAGGTAATATTTTCGGAACTGTTTTACCCTCACCTTTCTGGAGGGGGAGAAAGACCCTTATGTTTCGTTTGAAACGTTGGGCGCCACTCGTGTATGGATATCTAAAACAAGGCGGCGACATTCAATAGAGTGCTGTAGGTTGACATCTGTTTAACAACTCTTCTCTCTAAGTATTGCGTAGTATTAGAGAGTGTTTCCTAGCATCAGCATGGATTCCGAGAGCAACAAGGTTGGGCGCCACTCGTGCGTAGAATGTTGAAAAAAGGCATCGATAGTCGGTAGATTTCTCAAGGGCTAGGAGATATTTTCGAAACTGTTTAACTTCCTCCTTACTGTAGAACCCCTTACCGATTAGGGCGAGAGTAAGACCCTCATGTTTCGTTTGAAATGTTGGGCGCCACTCATGCGCCATATTCTGAATCAAGGCATTGATCTTCTTTAGAAGAAAATACCTGTGATTTAACATGGATGTGACCACATATATATTGTAGTTATGTATATATAACCAAAAATCTGTTTTAGGTGTTATTCTCGTGCGAAAAATAACTTGTCCGGCCGAATTTTCAATACCGAAATTAATTAATATTAATCTTTTTAGTTTTCATTCAAAATTTTTTGTTTTCAACGTCAGTTTATGGGAAATGCAGATTTTTGGTAAACCAAATCCCATATTTATTTCTAACTTTCATTCTTCATTCATTTCATTCCTCAAATATCACCCACCCCCCATAAAAAATTCCCTGGCAATGAATTCTAATTCGACATCGTTGTGGGAACTTTTACTATTTTCCAACACGATGATAATGGCAAACATTCATCATTTATTTAGGGTCACAAGCTGTGTGACATTCCATTTATTCAAATCTTTGTGGATATTTCTTACGAAATTAAACTAATCAAACCCCAAAGAAAAACCTCATTAAGGCAAGTACTTCCCCCCTCAAGCGGAGGATGAAGGGGAAATACAAATCGTTTAGATGTTGATCTATTTGGGACAGCTTTAATAACATCAACAAAACTTCTTCGTTAGACTACATTGTCAAGGTCGTCTGGATGAAATATACATATATACACATACACACACACTCACACAATTTCATTCAAACCAGTTTTTGCCAAAGCTTATTCGGGATCTGTCACCAAATCAAAGCAAAGCAAAGCAAAGGAAAGGAAATAAAACCCATTGACAAATTTAACATTTTGCATGCGAAATGACAACCAAAACACACACCAACAAACTGACATGTTAATGTTACCAATACCAGTACACAAACACACCTACACACTCTGCTAAGAAATGAGAGTTGAGATTTTTGAATAGTGCTTTCTCTTTCACTCTTCTAATGTAGATTACATAGGACCATATTAAAAGCTAGTTAATGTTAAAGCACACAGGCACACACGTACACCTACACACAGACTCACACACTTGCCAAAGATGAATGAAACCCGAAATGTGTGTGTGTTGTTGTGTTTTTTTTTGTTGCTGGGAAGAAAATTGACATTTAACTAACAAGGCACGTAGCATCTCAACACAGCTCAGCACACAACAACAATATAATCTTCGAACACACACACACATGCTCATGCACATCACCCACTAATAAAGCGAGGTGAGACCAGCTTTGGATAGTAAAGGAAACTATTAAAGTTGATGAGCAATGCCTTCCAAATGCCTGCCTATATTTGTAAACATTATTAAGTTAAATGTTTAGAATTATTAATAAAATACCTAAGTTATCTGGGCTTATGTAAACATACATTAGGGTGTGGCGGAAATGGGATGATGAAATGAATGGGATAAATGTATATAATTACTTTGCAGGTGATAGTTTTATTTTATAAAATATAACAACAAATCGCCAGAATATAACTTGCTTAAACAGTAATGGTAGCACATGATTCATCAAAGGCATTTAACCAGACAATCTGACCATACTGTTCAATTGACTCGTTGGGCGCCACTCCTGTGTCGATTTCTGAAACAAGATGTCGTGGCTCGGTAGAGTTTTCCAGGTTAAGGTGATAACTCCGGAACAGTTTAACCTTTGTGAAATTCCATAATGATCTAGGGGAAGAGAAAGCCATCGTGCTTTATATGAACCGTTGGACGCCACTCGTGTGAAGAATTTTGAAAATAGGTGTCAATGCTTGGTAGAGTCCTCCCGGTCGAGGTAATATCTTAGGAAATGTTTAACATCTGCCTCAATAGAATTCCATAATGATTTAGAAGTCGAGAAAAACTCCCATGTTTCGTTTGAAACATTGGGCGCCACTCGTGCGTCGAACTTTATAAGAATGCGTCGATTCTCTAAGTCGAGGTGGCATCTTCGGGAGTGCTTAACCTCTCTTCTCTTTAATTATTCCGTAGTAGTATAGAGTGTTTCCTAGTTGCCGATTATCTGCATGGGTTCCTAGATATAGATATAGCTCATGCTATACCAGCGTAGTGGAAGTATATGATCTATCAAAGGCATTTGATAAAATCAATAACGCCATACTACTTGTTTATAATACTGGGCGCCACTTGTACGTCGAATTCTAAAACAAGGCGCCGGGGTTTGACAGAATTCTCCAGGTTGAGGTGATATTAAGGGAAATATTCAACTTTTGTTTTTCTAAAATTCCCTAATGGCTTAGAAGGAGAGAAAAACTCTCATGTTTCCTTTGAAACGTTGGGCGCCACTCGTGTTTCGAATTCTGAAACAAGTTGTCGATGGTAGGTAAAGTTTTCGAGGTTGGGACGATACCTTCGGAATTGTTTAACCTCTTTTCTCTCTGATTATTCCGTAAAATGAGAACGTGTTTCCTAGTTGCCGATCATCTACATGGATTCCGAGAGCAACAAGTTACAACAACAACAATTGGCCAGAACAGATCATGCTATACAACCGTAATGGGGAACATGACTTATCGAAGGTATTTAATACAGACAAGCTGGCTATACTCTTTGCTTAAAACGTTGGGCGCCATTTGTACGTCGAATTCTAAAACAAGGTGCTGATGCTCGGTTGAGTGAAACAGGGTGAAGTCACATTCCCAGAAACGTTTACATCCCGCCCTTTATAAAACTCCCTGATGGTGTAGAGGGAGAGAAACCCCTTCATGTTCCGTTTGAAACATTGGATTCCACACGTTCACAGCGGCAAAAATAGTGTCCATATCAAGCAGGACTTAAGGCACAGTCAGGGAAGCAAAGCTCTTGTCGCTCATGGCTGCAGAAAGACGACAGCTGTCTTTACAAAGCAGAGTAGATTTGGCAGAAAAGTGTATAAATAGTTTTCGGTTTTTTATTCCACAAATTATAATTTTTTCTGCCATGGAATGGATTTTTTTACAGCCGTAAAATAGTTTTCATCCTGAAGGCTTTAAAAAATGTGTTATGTAATAGATATGTACAATATTTTACAAATTTCAGGATCCAACCCAATGTACACCCACACAAGCTAATTTGTTTTTGTATTTATGAATAAAATAATAAAAACAACAACAACAACAAAATATTAATTATCAAATTTACACAGACTTATTATACAATACGAACGAAAGGCTGGCAGACAGACAGACAGACAGGCAGTCATACCAATCACACACACATACACAAATAATACACGGCATATCGTCATGCCTGTTGACGATTTGTCAAGTTTGGATTGTAGCCAAATTGAGACAGACGCCAGCCACTGTCGTTGCCGCCATTACACTTTCCATTTCAAACTCAGCCGTTTGCCTCCCTCGGGGGATGTTTTAGAATCGAAACCAAAAAAAAAAGCAAACACCAAACAAAACAAGGCAAGCCAACTGAATATGGACTCGGCTGGGTTATTTAATGAGAATTTATATAAAAATAATGAATTCCGGCTGGAGTGGAATTAGTCTGTTGAAAATATTACAAATAATTAGTAGCAAGCGGCCGCTGTTGTTGCTTTTGTTGTTGTTTTGAATTTTGCCAAAAAGGATCTCCGTGTGTTTTGTGCTTTTCTTCTTCTTCTCCATCAAATTTGGAATATGGAGCGGTGTTTCAAGTTCCTTTGGCTAATGGCGTTAATTTCCAGCATTTGTTTGGCAAATGCTAGACAAATTCGCTACAGCCGCTACAGGACCGAGATTACCGAGGACGATATTGATGCCGGCAATATTGTCGAGCCATTTGAAATAGAGGCAACGGTGAGGGAGATTAAATATGCCCCCTATCCAGCTGCCGGTCTTAGGCCAAGCAAACCATTTACCGTTGAAGAAAATGAAAGTGAGGCGGCCAATGAAGCAGCTGCGGACAGCTTGACCATGACCACGACGGAAGGTTATGCCGATGAAACCACAACCACAGGGGCTGATGTGGATGCAACAGCAGATGGAGATGAGGTAAAAGCTCCCTACCCAGCTGCAGGTTTCAGACCGAAAATTCCCTTCAATTTGCCCGATAGAATTCAAAGAGGCGATATTACCACAGAAATGCCACAGTTGGAGGAGACAACCACAGCGAAAATAGAAAGTGAGATACCAACTACCACCACCTATGCCCCCGAGGTTAGTACAAAGGTGCCATTGGCTGAATTTACCACCAGAATGCCAGAAGAAGTTACACAAGAGCCGTTGGATTTGGTCACAGATACTCCTGCAGATGTGAATGAGGTTAAAGCTCCCTATCCGCCAGCTGGATTTAGACCAAGAATTCCATTTAATTTGCCAACAGAGAATCAGGTGGAAGAAGCTGAAGAATCAGCAGCTGTTGTGCCCACTGATGAGCCGAAGGAAGAGGTCTATGTGAAGGCCCCTTATCCACCCAACGGCTATAGGCCTGCCATAGCGTTTCTTTTGCCCAGCGAGCAACTAAAAGAAGAGGAAATGATGGAAAACAAAGAAGAAGACAAGGAGGAAGTTTCCCCCAAGGAGGACAACAGCAACCATCCCGCCTGTGGTTCCAGTACAAATCCCTTGGCCCCCAAGCCGGCTGATGGTGCCAAAAAAGATCCCGATGCGGAGACAATATTTGTAAATCCCCAAACTGTGGTAGTGCCGGTGCGCTTGACTGCCCAACCTTTGCTGCTGGCTAGGCCCCTTGTCTACACCACCCACCTGCGAACCTGGTGATGTGGTGGACTCCGCTCAATAGCATTTAAAAGTTATTTTGTGAAATCATGTTTTGTTCCGAAATTCTGTTGCAGTATTCCTACTTATTGTTGTATTAATTTGTTAAGTTTAATTTTATGTATTTTTTGGCTATTGCTTAATATTTTATCCGAAAGAAAAGAAAAAAATGAATGAATGAATGAAACTACAGAAATGCATAAAAAATTCAAAACTATGTTTGAATAGATTTTTTATTTCGAGAATGTTTTGTTGTTGTTTTTGGCTTACAAAAAATTACCATATTTGTCGTTGTAATTTTTGTTGTTTTATTTGTTACTACTGGTTTCTAGGTCACTGTAACACCAACACCACTACAGACCGAATTCTATTTCATTTCACATTCATGTCGAGAACATTGCCAGAAAAAAAAAAAACATCATTCCCTCTCTTCTATCTTCCCTCTCCTCTGCCCAAAACTGGTAATCGTTCGTTTGGAGACAACAGAAGAAGAAACCTATTGAGAGATCCACCATTAGAACGGAAGTAGGAAGACATTTGTATTCGAAAATATTGTCCATAAAAAAACACACAGCCCCACAACGTGTTGCATACCAATGCGGTGGGTCTTTGTTGTGTTGTGGTCTTGGCTTAGAGGCCCCTTCGAACACCAAACACCCAGCAACGAGCAACGAGCAACACCAACCCAACTTAACTTAGACACAATCATATACCAATCAAATTTACTATGTGTTTGTAGTTCTTATTCGTTCGTTTTTTTTTGTTTAAGTTTCGATTTCGATTTGGTTTTCAATTTCAGTTTTTTTGGTCTTTTCTGCTATTATCCGTATTGTATTGTAATTTTTGTTGTTGTTTCTATTATTTCGGGTTTGGTATTATTTTCTCAAAACAATTTAATTCGATAATAAACACCAGTAAAAATAAAAGTAACCATTATTGTAAATATCTTTTGCTTTTAGTTGTTGTTGTTTGTTTTTTTCTTTTTGTGAAAAGACCAGTCCGATTTTGGCAGGCATTGAAGAGACTTCACAAAGAAAAGAAAATTGATATAGGACCATAATTGTTACGAGGCACAATGGAAGTAGAATAAATTCAACAATTTTGATGAAAGGGAGCGTGGGAATAGGGGAATAGAGAGGGAGGGAAAATAAGAAATCTAGAGACATGTGTGGGAGAAATACAGTACATGGTGGGAGAATTATGCCATGAGTGTTTTGTTTTGGAAAGTATTGATTTAAGCTAAAATATGAAAAAAAACCAATCTCAAAAATTGATAGATCGTTAGATAGAAAGCAAAAAATGTCGGAATGAAGGCAAAAAATGTCGGAAATTGCATCAAATTTTAGAATATGTTTAGATTTGCTCGAATTGGTCACCTTTGGCACGAATTATGACCTTCAAATGGCCAATGAAACCGTCACACGCTGCCCGAATGTTGGTCAGCGGTATTTTGGTCGAAAATACTCCAGACACAATAGTCCATCGGATTCGTATCCGGAGATTTTGGTGGCCATTGTGCGCTGGAAATGAAAGAAGAAACTCATTTTGTAGCCATTCTTGGGTGGCGCGTGCTGAGTGCGATGGTACTGAGTCCTGTTGGAGTGCCCAAGGTCTGCGGCCAAAATGTTTGCGTGGCCAAAGCTTTAATACACCCTTCAGAATTTTTCGCGATAATATTCGTCATTTGTTCTGATGCCACGGTCTATTAATACGAGCGGAGAGCGACCATTAGTTGTTATGACGGCCTACACCATCACAATGGCCGCCGCTTGAGTTCTGGTGGCCAACCGAAGGTGCACATTTTTAGCTGACGTCTTTAGCAAGTAAACACGATCATTTTGCTTGTTTACAAACTGCTGGACATGGAGAAAACCAAATTCGGCCAAGCGAAGGACCTCTTTAGCTCTTATGAGTCTATTTTTTCTTGTGTAAGTTCCTGCACTTTTCGGAATTTTAATGGCTTTACCTTTTTTCAATATTTGCCGAATGGAATATTGCGATATGTTCAGCTCACGAGCTATTTTTCAGCCACTGCGACTGGGGTTTCGATCAAGTCGCTTCTTTACTTTTCGAACCATTTTTGCTGATGTTGTAGTTTTCTTCCGTTCACTTCCTTAACGTCGGGTTACGCTACCAGAATCACGGTAACGAGCGATCGTACGAGACACTAAAGATTAATTCACATTTAAATGCTGGAGCACTCTAACAATAGGCACTTGTGGTTTTCCAGCCAAATATAAAAAAATCACATGATCACGCTTGAATTGCATAACGAATAACTTTTTTTCTGGAAAATTCTCACCAAAATGCTTTTGTACGCTTGTAAACAATATAATGAGCTGTCACTGGAATAATTTTAACAGCAGTGGGATGGGTGGCTTAAAAATGGCAGCAGTCTAACTTTTCTCATCTTTTATATTTCTCTCTGGGAAAAATGTGGAGAATCTCACTTTATATATTACCAGAGCTCCGATTTGGAATCATGGCCTCCAGCATACCTTCATGTTGGGCGCTATAATTTTGATTGCCGGTTGCCAAAATTCAAATATGAATTAACTTTAAGTACTTTCACATTTACATTTCCAACTTCGTCTGATCGCGTAACATCAAGGGTTACATATTTTGTCGCTTAGAATAATTCTGGTACCTTTTATTACAAATTTCCAAAAATCCTCTTACACGTCAGTTCTCAGATAGTCATTGATGAAGTACTATGTATCGTTATCGTCGGTATACAAGGTAAAAAAAGGCCGAAGCTACGATAAAGACCAAACCATTGTATCCAAGATTAGAGAAACAAGTAAAATATCAATACTTTATGAAATCTGTGATAAGGCCATCAAAGGGGGAAGTTTTCACAAAAAAAATCGAACTGGAACAAAATATATGGTCCCACAATCCAAAAATGGCCCCAATCCAAAACAATATTTTTTAAAAGATCTTCTTGCTTATTTTTGAATAATTTCAATGTTAATCCACTGCTTTCAACTTGGCTTTTGAGAGCTAGTTATATTCCATATCGTATAAATGATTCACTTCATTTTATACTTATTTTTAGATTTTATTACATTATAAATATTTTTTTATAAAATCGAAAATCCGTTTGTGAAATTTATTTGAAACATGTTTTTTCAATTTAAGCAAAAACATGCCAGCTTATTGAGATTTCTTCAACGTTTCATTGTTGTTTTGCGTTACTTATACGCCCCAATGGACAGAGTGTTTTAAAATACTCACACACACACACACACATGTATGCATACTTTTTAGATGGCGTCTTGCCTGCTACAAATTGCACTCTAAAATACCTCCGAAAAATTGAAATTCAATCACTTCAAAAAAATAAAAATTAAAATTAATGGTCGCGCATTAGCATAAATGAATTGCGTATTATATTTTTGTCACACGGCAGAACAATTCATTATTTTTATGTCAGTTTTTTTGGAACCCAAAAAACAAGAAACTAAAATTTGAATTCTGAGTTTTTTGGAATTGAATTCAATGCAAAGCCAAAATGTTCTTCTTCTTCTTGTTTGCCACTCTAATTTTTAATCGTGAATTCGTTCACCCAGCTACATGCTGTTGTTGTTTTTCTTTTTTGCAACAAATTTATCAAATATGTATTTCATTTACCTGCCTTTTGTGAAATATGTTCACGAATGATAAATGGTTCGCTGCGCTACCAAAACATAAATGCAAAAATAATGACAAAATATTCAGTTCGGCTACTGTGGGTGACGATTGTGGGGATATTCAAAAAAAATAAAAAAAAAAACAAAACAAACACCACAATTCGAAATAACAACAAAAATCGAAGACACATTTTGGTACGTGTGTGTGTGAGCGAGCACACAACGACCATCGGATCACAGTCAAGCCGGCCGTACGTGACAAACATACCGAATTATTTTGGTTTCTTACCAAAAATGAGAAATACAAACACACACACACACACACATTTATTGAGATGTGTGTGTGTTTGAGTGTGGGTACATATTTATAAACATCATTGCTTAGGCCTCTTTTGTATGAACTTCATTTGGTTTGCAGATTCTATTTAATGGGTACCCTACATTACTTCAGGGGAGGTCTGACTGGAAAAATTTGCTACAGTACTACACAATATGTTCGGAAAATTGTACACCTTTGTAGTAAAAACTGTAGAATTCAATCAGCCGAATAAAACAGTCGGTTGAAAATAATGGGCTATTCCTAAAAATATATGGCAAAACTGCTTATTTTTCCCATTATCAAGTAATGAGTAATGTCCTCAGGCAAAATATATTTTGAAATCAGATTTCATTTGCTAAAATTGAAACACATTTCTGCAAGATCATAAGCCTCTTTGTGTAATTTAAATAAAAAAATGTGTTATTAATTTGTGTCCTGCAAACAAATTCAGACTGCTATCATTTTTAAGCCACTCGTCCGACAGCTGTTAAAATTATTCCAGTGACAGCTTATATATTGTTTACAAGTGTACAAAGTCATTTTGGTGAGAATTTTTTTTAGAAAGAAAGTTATTCGTGATGGAATTTAAGCGTGGTAGTGTGTTTGGCTGGAAAACCAAAAGTGGCTATCGTTAGAGCACTCCCACATTTAAATCTGAATAAGTCTTTTGTGTCTCATACCATCGCTTATTACTTGATACTGGTAGCGTAGCCCGACGTCAAAGAAGTGGACGGAAGAAAAAAGCAATATCAGCAGAAATGGTTCGAAAAGTAAAGAAACGACTTGATCGAAAATTGAAAAATGAGCTCAGGGTAAAGCCATTGAAATTCTAAAGATTGGAAGAACTTACACCGCAACAGAAAGAAAATAGACTCAAAAGAGCTAAGGAGTTACTTCGCTTGGCCACCACAGAAAGTGGTGAACTGCCGAATTTGGTTATCTCCGATGAGAAAACATTCGTTGTCCAGCAGTTTGTAAACAAACAAAATGATCAGGTTTACTTGCCAAAGAGGTCAGTTGAAAATGTGCACCTTCGGTTGGCCACCAGAACTCAAGCCTCAAGCCTGCCATGGTGATGGTGTGGGCCGCCATAATAGCCGAAGGGCGCTCTCCGCTTGTATTCATCGACCGAGGGTATCAGAATAAATGCCGAATATTATGGCGAAAATATTCTGGAGGGTGTATCAAAGCCGTAGACCTTGGACGTTCGCACTCAGCACGCACCACCCAAGAATGGTTGCAAAATGAGGTCCCTCGTTTCATTTCCAGCGCACAATGGCCACCAAAATCTTCGGATACCAATCCATTGGACTATTGTGTCTGCAGTATTTTGGAAAGCAAGGTTGGCACTAAAAATATCAAAGTGTCGATCACCTCAAGCAAGCGCTTCGCCGGGAATGGGCCAAAATACTGCAGAGCAACATTCGGGCAGCGTGTGTCGGTTTCATTGGCCGTTTGAAGGCCATAATTTGTGTCAAAGACGACCAATTCGAGCAAATCTAAACTTATTCTAAAATTTGATGCTATTTCCGACAGTTTTTGCTTTCATTCAATTAAATTGAAAAAATGTATCAATTATTGATATGTTTGACTTTAATGCAGTTTTCTATCTCACCCTGTATATTTAATAATTTTTATTAAAATTTGTTGATTTTTAGTTATTTATTTCTATCTTTTTTTAAATTATTTGGGCTCGAAGGAGGAGGAAGGGAAAAAAGAGATAGAGAGTTTAATTTAGAGGGAGATATTAAAACTAGAACGAGAGATAATTGATTTTATATTGGGTGCTTTGTATAAAAAGGGAAAGGTATTAGAGTGGGTAGACGAATGTGACTCTAGGTGAAGGGCTGTAGGGCATCATGACGTCGTTTCCACTTTATATAAATATTTTCTTGTTTTTTTTCTCTTTGCTGTCCTGTAGATCAAAAAAGCCTATTTTTTCTTTTTTTCTTTGGCCCATGTTGATTCAGACCAGTCAGTCAGTTAACCAACATTTTGCACGAACATTGAACCGAAAACTTCCCCTCCCTTCGTAGCAGCCACACAGCAGTCCTATCTTGTCACATTGCACACGATGGACTGAACGCCTACACGTGCTGTCTTGTTGGTGTTGTTATATTTTTTGTTGTAGAATTCAATTTCAGCATTGTTGCCAAACCCAAGTCATAGGCCTTTGAGTCGTTCGTTTGTCTCTTTGGAGCCGATACAGACACTGCTGTATTATAAATCCATGTTGGACTTAAATAGTACGGAATTAACTTGTGTTTCATTCTGGTATTGGATGTTCTGTGTGGGAGTGTGTGTGTGAATGTTCCCTCCTGGACTCCCAGCACAAATACATACATTGATGAATGGTCCATGGGCAGTAGGAACAAGTGAAACTTATTCACCTGTTGCTCAAATGTCCTTTTCGATTATGGCAAAAGGATACACACTCTGTGCATGTTCACGTCCGTTCATTTACTCCCCAATTATATGTCTATCTGTCGTTGTTCTAGTTCTATTTTCCCCCTCCACCCCTATTCGGATAGGTGAATTTGCTTGAGTGCGTGTGTGTATGTTCTGCAGTCCGCATTGGAATCCTTACTCCAACTGCCATTGGAGACTTATTTATTTCAATTTAATTTTACATTTCTATTCCGTCTTGTTCAAATATTGGTTGATTAAGTACTTGTGGCAGGATATTTGTCCTTTTTGTGCAAATAATGTTGAAATTATTTAATGACGTCGTTTCAGTTACAGGGATGGATGCTGCGATTATTAATTCAGAGGTGGGTTTCATTTGAAATGTGTTTAAACTGAGAGAGGGAGGTAGAATTCGATGGGAAAGGATAGAATGTAGAAAGGATTTCAAAGGATACTCAATTAGAAATGATGGGTGCAAAATTTCTTTTATAGAACACGGGAATCTTCCACATAAATCGGAAAAATAAGTCGATTTTTTTTAATGTTATTGAAGACAGGTATAGTTCTATTGAGATCAATCCCTTTACGGGACAAGATTGTATCAATTATTATGAAATCGTTTTGAGGAAGCTTTTCACATTCTGTATTCAGTTTTTCATGTTCTATTCCCAAATTGTAGCCACCATGAGTGATCCCAAAACAATACCTTCAAATATTTTTAATATTTTAAATAAAAAAATATATATTTTTTTTATTTGATAAATGAAATACCTAATTTCCCTAAAAACAAACGTCAACATGACTAAATTTGGTTTCAAAATAATAATGAAAATAATAAAATATGAATTTTCAATACATGAAAGTGAGCATTACACTGCCAATATCAACGGCATCGGGCAGATTATTGGGAAACGTAGTAGAAGATGGGTTGTGGGACAAATTGACGCTGGAGTTGGAGACGGGCTGGGGCAGCTTTGCGTAGTTTGGCGGCACGAACGGCACTTTTGCGAGCACCAGCACGACGGGCTGTCAGACGAGCAGATTCAACAGCTTCCTCCTCTTCGGCGGCAGCTTCTTCAGCAGCAATAGCTTCTTCCTCTTCGGCTACAGCAACGGCTTCCTCTTCTTCTTCGGCAGTTGGGACAACATCCTCAGTTTCGGCAGGCAAATCCTGTTCTGGAGGACCATAGACTTCATCGGGTTGATTTGGAGTAATTTGTTCGGGAGCTTCAGCTTCATTGAATGGCACTTCAGGTTTCAATTCATCAGCCGATGGGTAGGGAGTGACAGCTTCCTCAGCCACTTCTTGGCGGGCCAAAAAACGATTACGTCTTCCCTGGAAACGTCTGCGGGGAGCCTCAGCGGAGACCAAAGCAATAGCCAAGAAGGCAACGAAAAGGATTTGCATGAATTTAGCCATGTTAAAAGGTTTAGGGTTGTAATTGACGGTTGAATGGAAGACAACTGATATCGATTGGTCAGCTTGGAAAACTATTTATACAAAATAATATTTTTTTGTTGTGTATGGAATCTCAGACCATTTGTGTTGTTGTTGTTTTAGTTGGTGGACATGTACTACCACTGCTAATTGTTGTACTTTTTGTGTGTAATTTTTTTTTTGTTATTTTTTGTCTTCGTGTAGGTCTCGTCTCCGCTGCCGTTGCCTGGTCAATGGTGTTGGCTTTTTGTGAACCTGATCCGCATATTTTAATAATTCAAGAGCTTCTTCTTTTAAACTTTAGCGCCCACATGCCAGCAATTAATAATTCGTGTACCTTGAAATTGTTATTTCACTTCCTATGATCGTTTCTTCCGGATGGGTCCCCCAAAAAGTTCGATGGATGAAGGGATTTTTTCAAAAATACTTTAAAATGTTTGTATTGTTCTACAAACGACTATATTTTTGTAAATATTAATGGTGTAATTAAACAATTACAAAAAAAAAAAAAAAAATAAATAAATAAAATAAAAAAAATCATCCGATTGTCATTAAAAATTGGTTATATAAGAAGAGATAGAAGCTATAGATGTCATATTGAGAACCAATTTCTTTTCTCTCAAGAACTCGCTCTCTATTCCAACTTCCCTTAGAATTTTTAAATCGTCGACAAATAAGTGTAGAAAATTTCTTATACATTTTTGTATTGTAAAAAATAACCTTGGACAACATTCATATTTATATTTCACATAAAAATGAATCGCTATATATAAAAAATACCAAGGGAGGCAATATACCAATTGAGAGAAGATGATTATAAAATAGAGATCTATTACTGTATAGAAAATTAGTACCAAATTTTTTAAACTTTTAAAATATCAGATATTACCGCTGCAGGAATGCCTTATATTCGCGTAGAACTTAAAATGCCATCCATGAACTCGTTCTGTTAACAAAAATTGTCAAACCCCCTAAAATTTTAAAATAGAAGCTATTTCTCTATGTCCATATCAGGCTAACCTATGTTGACAATGGTGTTATTTATCATTCCCATAATTCCAAATTTTTAACAATTGACCCCTCCCGAAATGGTTTTGAATGTTCCTAGCGCCCAGTGGCGTCCTCTTCAGAAACTTGTTCTTCTCTAATTTTGGACGAGTAGAAAATAGTAGTATGATTGCCTACTTCAGGTCCGATTACGTTGAAAATCAAAGATGTCTTTTTGGAAACCATTCTTCAAAATATGGAGGTGCCGTTGCATTTGGCTATCAGCGTTCACTTGCCCGACAAAACTGGTAAAACTTGCAAGCAAAATTGTGGCGCCCAACTGTGATGTCATAACTGAAAATGTTGATTAACAGTCGACCTCTCCCGAAATTGTTTTCTAAATTCACATACGTCCAATGACACTCTTAGGAAACGGCTTGCTCTCCATTTCTAGGGCGAGTTGAAAATGGTAGTGTGGTTGTCAACTTCTGATTGTATGACGATGAAAACCCTAAAATGTCATTTTGGAACCCATTAGATAAAATATGTGCTCAAAACCCTTTTATAGCCTAAAAATGGGAGGTGCCGTGTGAATGTTAGACGTTCACGATTCCGACAAGAAAACAGGAGAAACTTTTAAGCAATATTATGGCGCCCAACTGAAATGTAAATTCTGAAAGCGTAGATTTTAACAGTTGACCTATCCCCAAATTGTTTTTTGATGTCCGTTGCGCCCAGTGGCACTCTCTTTAGAAATATTTTGCATTTTTAGGGCGAGTAGGAAATAGTAGCATGACTGTCAACTTCTGATTGGATGACGCCGAAATTTCATTTAGGAAACCCTTCGATAAAATATGTGTTCACAACCTTTTTATAACCTAAAAATAAGTGTAACCGTTGCATCCTGTTTTACATCTTTTACTATAACATTTTTCCCGTGTCATACAACAAAACTAATAAAACTTGTAATGGCGCCCAACATGGAAGTATGCAGGTGGCACTGGGAGTCCGACACTCTCCAAAATAGTTACCATTCTGGCATGTTCTTACATTTTTTGCATAGGAAAAAATATTATTGGTACCTTTTTTACAGCATATAAAATGTGGTCACCCTGAGCAACACGTAAAAAGACAAATACTTCAGGTGGTCTAGCCTTTTTAAACATTGCTTTAAAAAAAATAACGATATTTTTTGTAATTTTTATTATTTATTTATTTTTTTTTTAATTATAACTACGACAAAAACACATGACTAAATTCTCTAAATTGGAAATTCCTCCAACAATTTTTTGTAATACTTAAGCTAATTCACGAAGAAATGAGTCTATTTACTCATTGCATTGTCCCCACTACAAATTACTGTGCGACGTAGAAGTAAACGGGTTGAGCAACAAATTGACGCTGGAGCTGGAGACGGGCTGGGGCAGCCTTGCGCAATTTGGCGGGACGAACAGCGCTTTTACGGGCACCAGCACGACGGGCAGTCAAACGAGCAGATTCCACAGCTTCAGCGACGGCAACAGCTTCTTCCTCTTCGGCCACAGCAACGGCTTCCTCTTCTTCTTCGGCAGTTGGGGCGATATCATCAGTTTCAGCAGGCAAATCCAGTTCTGGAGGACCATAAACTTCATCGGGTTGATTGGGTGTGATTTGTTCGGGAGCTTCAGCCTCATTGAATGGCACTTCGGGTTTCAATTCATCAGCCGATGGATAGGGTGTGACAGCCTCCTCAGCAACTTCTTGGCGGGCCAAGAAACGATTACGTCTGGCCTGGAAACGTCTGCGGGGAGCCTCAGCAGATACCAAGGCAATGGCCAAGAAGGCAACGAAAAGGATTTGCATGAATTTAGCCATGTCTTTTTTGTGTGTTTGTGTTTAGATTTAGATTCGAGATTGTGCGGAAGGTAACTGATGTTGGCCTCTAATCCAAGCCGGCTATTTATATCACTCGAAATTGACGCGAAATTTGTAATGAGTCAACCTTGTGCGTGTGCGGCTAGTTATGTTGTTTTATGGGTTTTTGATTTATTAAAACTCAAATGGCATAATTTAATAATTTATACTCGTCGTGTGTGAATGTGTGCGAAAAATACTTCCTAACCATACATGGAGGTCAATCGGATGTCCATTGTGAATGAGATATGAAGGGAAATATGCAAATTATTTCCCGTGAAATTGCCAGCCATGAAATTGTGAAAAGAAATATATTTTTTTTTTTGAAAAAATCTGTATTTTTAAAAGTATTTTTCCATGGGAAGAATGCGAAAAACGTTTTTAAACTAGGTATGACCAGAAAGTAGCCAGGAGTAACGGTAGGTTGAGGAGAGTGCCCTCTCTAGTGCTCATAATTAAAACATATCTCTCAACATCCAAACGTGCAAAGTTGGCTCTCTCAATTATGAAAATGTGTTCGCAGTGACATGATGTGCCAGTGGCGTATGCAGAAATTTATTTCGAAACCATTTCAAGAGACCTAAAAAGAAAAAAAGGTGAAAAATATGCAAAAAAAAAAAAAATAAAAAATCAGGAGGCCACTATACACGTTCTGATATTTGGCTCAAGATAGCTGATTCGGACCCTAGTCTAGCCAATTCGCGTGCAGTCTCATTGCCTGGAATATTGTAATTACCAAGAAACCAACAGAGCTTAATAGATAGCCCAGTGTTTTCCAAGAATCTCCGGCATTCCAAAACTGCCCTATACTTAATGATGGAGGAGTTTAAAGCTTTCAGTACCGCTTGGCTATCGACATATATAGTCTCCCGACCGTTAACCTCGTTGTTTCTCGTGACCAATAGGTCTATGGCTTTTTGACCGCAAAGATTTCCGCTTGAAACACGCTATAGTCGTTTCTGAGCTTGTAGGATTCACGAATATTAAGCTCCTTTTCCGCATTCCATCTTTGAACCGCCAGTATAAACAGCTATGCCGCGGAAAGGTGGATTGTTCCGGGCTCAGGCATCACTGTAAGGTAAGGAAAGGTGGATTGCTACGGGCTCTTGAAGACATCTTTATTAGTAGGAATGCAGATCTTTGAACTTTGCCAATGCAACGTAAATAGGATAAGTTTTTTAAGGAATGCCACCAGACTAGAGCTCCGTAGGAAAGAGTAGGGCTAACAATTGACTCATACGCCCATTTAATTATGTGTGGTTTGAGGCCCCAGCTATAACCTATAGAATTCTTGCAAGAAAAGAATTCAATCAAGCCTCTCCTTGCTCGTTTCTCAGTGTTCCTCTTCCAACTTAGCTAGCGGTCGAGGATGGTGCCGAGGTATTTGGCATCAGAGGAGAGGTTTAGAGTGACCCCTCCAGCATCGGTGGTATAAATGAAGGAAATTTACGTTTCCTCGTAAAGAGGACGAGCTCTGTCTTTGATGGGCTCACGCCTAGTCCATTGCGACGGGCCCACTTTGATAAGGTAACTAGAGATCCCTGCATCAGATCTGAGATTGTTTGAAGGAATTCATCAGCGTAAGATACTACCTTTGTCCCATTTTGCTCCAGATTTCACATCGGAATGCTTACAATCCATATAGAAGGATAAACACTATGACATGGCTGGATGGACAAAAAATATCCTGAAATGGATCTAGTCAATACAGAAGTAATGTCAAAAATCCTTTTAGCGATCAAATACATTTTAAAGTAAATAAAAAGAATTGGAAGTTATGACAAGGAGATTACCCGTAATTTAGTATTATGATATACAAAGCTTGAACCAATGTGAATACTCCTTCGTCTTAAGCTAATGTATAAAATTTTACCAAAAAGAATCCCTTCGAAAATTTTCCTCTTCCTCCTGACCAAAATGTGACACAAATATTACTATGCCTGGGGTTTGGACTGTGTTGGAATTCCGCTACAAGTTGTATGAGTTCTATTAATTCTCAAACAAGTTGACCTTACTGAGTGGATACCAGAAAAAATTCTCATGGACAAATTTTTGTCAATCTTCGAACACGAATTAAGTTTTATAGGAATATGAAGATGTGAAAATCATATTCTACATAGACTCAAACTATCCTAAAACTGATTTTGTCACATGAGATATGTTTTCATTATCGTTATTTCATTGGCGACCATTTGTGGCCATATCAATCCAAATCTACTATTAGTAGCCTGACTGAGGGAAGAGAATAAAATGTTTCCATGTTATTTGCAACAATTTATTTTATTAAAATTTCATAAAAATTTAAGGCAACATGACTAACATTTTTTTATGGTTCATCCTTTTTGGTTCGCTATTCTCCTCCGTATTAATGGGCAATGTAATAGAAAAGGGGTTGGGGAACATATTGTGGTTGGACTTGGAGACGAGCTGGGGCAGCCTTGCGCAGCTTAGCTGGTTGAGCACGAACAGGTTTGCGCAACTTGGCGGGGCGAACAGCAACTCTACGGGCACCAGCACGACGGGCAGTCAAACGAGCGGGGAAACTTTCTTCCTCTGGTGGGCCATAAACCTCATCAGGTGTGAAGGGGGCTTGTCCGGCGACGGGGGTGAAGGGACTTTGGCCAGCAACAGAGGTGAAGGGAGTTTGTCCGGCCACTGGGGTAAGGGGAGTTTGTCCGTTCACAGGGGTAAGGGGAGCTTGTCCAGCCACAGATGTAAAGGTAGTTTCGCTTCCAGCAGCAGTAAAGGTAGTTTCTCCATCAGCATTCACAGTTGTGAAGGTAGTCTGTTCATCCACAGGGGTAAGGGGAGTTTGTCCTCCAACAGGGGTAAGGGGACCTTGTCCAGCCACAGATGTAAAGGTAGTTTCACTGCCAGCAGCTACAGCTGTAAAGGTGCCTTCTCCTTCAGTGGCAGCAGTGCCGAATGGAACTTGTCCTTCGGAGGCAACAGCTTCATCGAATGGCACCTCAGGTTTCAATTCATCAGCCGTGGGATAAGGAGTAACAGGCTCTTCAACTTCTTGGCGAGCCAAGAAACGATTACGTCTTCCTTGGAAACGTCTTGGTTCACCGGCAACCAAGGCCACAGCCAAGAAGGCCACAAAAAGGATTTGCAAGAATTTAGCCATGTTTTTCGAAATAGTTTTTGATTTGTTATGGAATGATCGATAACTGATGTTTGATTCGAATTGAAATGAAGTATTTATACAAATAAGATTCCGTTCGAAACTTCATGTTTGCTAATTTATGCCAATCGATGTTGACGATGTTTCAATTGTTCTCGTGATTGGCAATATCATCACACTTTATGGTTTTAATCGAACCTACTACTGACAAACATTTTTTCCATCGGTTTGGGTGAATAACCTAAGCCGAGTGTTTCAAAATCTAACCGAACGCGATAAATGAATATAAATGCATCGTTGTGTTTGACAAACATTTTGAGTATTTGAAATTTGCATTCGAATTACGCACGAAGTTTGGTTTGGATCACATGGCAGAATACAGAATACTAAATTGGAAAGGAAGTAAAAAATCTGCCATAATTCAGATGTTTGACACATGGCGCAGCGATCTTTTATTTCCTTGGATTTTTAAAGAAATTAGGTTTTATTTTTTGCTTGTTATGTTTCAAAATATCACAGATAAGCGGATCTTTTTGCAAAGTAAAAATTTAAAAATAATCATAAGATCTTCTGGGTAAGGATAAAATTAAAATAAACCAGCAAGGAAAGGCCAAAAGTCGGACGGAGCCGACTATATGATACCTTACACTACTATGCGTACTTAGTCGAGCTCCCGTAAAAAAAAAAGTTTATGTTGGGAATTTATGTGAAGTAGATCATAAAAATTATGTACCTTATTTGAATGCATATCATGACTTTAGAGTAGTCACGATTTGGGAACTATATCCAACTCTGAATCGATTTTGACAACAAATTTTATGAAATGGAAAAATTCGGTGGAATATGAAAAAATCTTTCCTAACTATTCATAATCTATACATGGTGAAATATAACCGCAAAAATCGGATGAAGATGTTTATCGAAGCTATAAAAAATCTAAACAGATCTTTGTAAAATTCGGCAGAGGTGTGTCAGAGATGTATCTGATATCTGGTACCAAATATCATTCTTGAAGAGTGCATATTACGACGTCAATGAAGTGGACGGAAGAAAACAGCAACATCAGCAGAAATGGTTCGAAAAGTAAAGAAGAGACTTGATCGAAGCTCGCGTCGCAGTGGCCGAAAAATGGCTCATGAGCTGAACATATCGCAATATTCCACTCGGAAAACATTGAAAAATGAGCTCGGGGTAAAGCCATTGAAATTCCCAAAAAAGTGCAAGAACTTACGCCGCTTACCACAGAAAGAAAAAAGACTCGAAAGAGCTAAAGATTTGCTTCGCTTGGCCGAAAGTGGTGAACTGCCGAATTTAGTTTTCTCCGATGAGAAAACATTCGCTGTCCAGCAGTTTGAATGATCGTGTTTACTTGCCAAAGAGGTCAGCTGAAAATGTGCACCTTCGGTTGGCCACCAGAACTCAATCGCCGGCCATGCTGATGGTGTGGGCCGCCATAACAGCCGATGGTCGCTCTCCGCTCGTACTAATCGACCGTGGCATCAGAATAAATGCGAAATATTATCGCGAAAATATTCTGGAGGGTGTATTAAAGCCTTGGGCGTGCAAACAATTTGACCGCAGACCTTGGACATTCCAACAGGACTCAGCACGCGCGACCCAAGAATGGTTACAAAATGAGGTTCCTCGCTTCATTTGCAGCGCACAATGTCCACCAAAATCTCCGGATACCAAGGTTAGCACTAAAAAATACCAAAACAAGCGCTTTTCCGGGAATGGGCAAAATACCGCAGAGCAACATTCGGGCAGCGTGTAACGGTTGCATTGGCCGTTAGGCCATAATTCGTGCCAAAGGTGACCAATTCGAACAAATCTAAACTTATTCCAAAATTTGATGCTATTTCCGACATTTTTAGCTTTTTTCAATAGATTTAAAAAAAAAATTAAAAATCATGGCGTTTGACTTTGTTGCAGTTTTTTTATCTCAACCTGTATATATGGGAGAAATTGCTATATCTGAATCGATTTTCTCCAAATTTGATGTAATTACTTCTAGACTGAAATCGGTCGAATGTGCCAAAATTCTGGAAATTTTGAATGACATTGGTGCACAACCGAACCTGAAATCGGTTGAAGATATATATGGGAACTATATCTAAACTTGAATTTAGCCAACTTCAATAGACTTCATTTCAATCGAAGAGTAAATGTGACCTGCATTTTATTCATAAAATATCTTGGAAAGACGAAATAAGATGCATAAATTGACTCAGAAAATGATTCTATGAAGATCCTCAAACGTAACTAGGGGTCTATCTCTCTATCTTCTCTATGTTACAAACAAAGGCACAAAGACATAATACCCTTACCACAATATGGTGTAGGGTATAAATCGTCCAGTATCAGCTGATTACAAATCAGCTGTTTTGTGACCGGTTAATTAATGTCTACAAATTTTAGGCACTAATTTAAATATTTTCTTGGACAGCATTCATCTTAAACATTAAACATTTTAAATGAATCGTAAAATATACAAAAATATAATTTATTTTTCTCTTAAAATAAAGGGCAGAGAACTTTGGCATAGATGCTTGAAATAATCCTAAGATATTTGGAATTAAAAGTGACCCACATTTGAGCATAGTCCCCAAATAACAAGACCTCATGACTTTCCATATTTCGAAGGTTCAATTTCCAGCCAAATAAGCCGTAACTTTAAACTAAGGTTCCTCATTGGGTAGTTTCACTTTTCATAAAAAAAATATTCAATAAATGTAAGATTTGTTATATATCCAGATTTCATGTGACCATTTTTTACCATTCTTTTATGAGAAGCTTAACTAATTGTCTTGTTTGGTATTGTTTTACGATTAATTAATGTAAATGCGTATAATTTTTTTTTCAACAAATGTTATATTTTATTTTGGACATGGCTTAAATTCATATAACAAGATTTATCATTCCTTTGCTTTCAATTTAGTGGGCAATGTAATAGAAAAGGGGTTGGGGAACATATTGTGGCTGGACTTGGAGACGAGCTGGGGCAGCCTTGCGCAATTTAGCTGGACGAGCACGAACAGGCTTACGCAACTTGGCGGGGCGAACAGCCACTCTACGAGCACCAGCACGGCGGGCAGTTAAACGAGCCGAGGCAATTTCTTCTTCAGACACGGCAAAATTGTCCTCATCCTCTTCTGGTGGGCCATAAACTTCATCGGGGGTGAAGGGGGTTTCTCCGGCAACGGGGGTGAAGGGGGTCTGTCCAGCAACAGGTGTGAAGGGAGTTTCTCCAGCCACAGGGGTAAGGGGAGTTTGAGGAGCTTGTCCAGCCACAGTTGTAAAGGTGGTCTCACTGCCAGCAGCTATAGTTGTAAAAGTGCCTTCTCCTTCAGTGGCAGCAGTTGCAAATGGAACTTGTCCTTCGGAGGCAACAGCTTCATCGAATGGCACTTCGGGTTTCAATTCATCAGCGGTGGGATATGGTGTGACAGGTTCTTCCAATTCTTGGCGAGCCAAGAAACGATTACGTCTTCCCTGGAAACGTCTTGGTTCGCCGGCAACCAAGGCCACAGCCAAGAGGGCCACAAAAAGGATTTGCATGAATTTAGCCATGTTTTTTTCTCGAATTGGTTTTTGATTTGTTATGGAATGATCGATAACTGATGTTCGATTTGCATCAAAATCAAGTATTTATACAAATTAAATTCACTTCAGTTTAAAACTTCTGAATATAATTTGTGTTAATTTATGCCAATCAATAGTGAGTTTCAATTATTTTGGTGATTGAAAATATCTTCACACTTCGGTTGCCGGATTTTCGTTGTTGTTTTTATTTTTATTGAAATTTTGTTTAAACATTTCTTCGATGAAGTTTTGATATTTCATAAAATGCAGACCAGTTGGGTGAATAACCTAAGTGCGGTGTTTCAAAAATATAAAGACGGACGTTTTACTGCATTTTGGTTTGACTAAAATTTTAAACACTCCTCAATTTGTATTTGAATTGAATGAACATTTTTTTCCGAAACACTGGTAGAATACAGATACATAAATTGATTAGAAAAAGGAGAGAAGTATAGGATTTGAAGATTAATATTGAAGTACTCGTCTGATTTGTTTTTTAAATATTTTTCCAATTTTGCTTATGACTCAGAAGAAAAAACCATACTTTGATGAGCATTCAGACACACTGATACATTTGTCAAGGTCGAAGAAATATTTGCTAGAGTTTATCGGAAAACCTTTATTAGCTTTCTACTTTGCTAAGAATGTTGTTTCATTTCTGGCTTATTGTACTGGGATTCTGTATCCAAATAGTATCAGAGAGATATTTCAGAGACTTTCAGAGGTAAAAACGTTATAAAAGTCATATTTTGTCAAGGACTGTTAGTGTCATTATGCTGATATCTGAACGTGGATTTTAAAAAATCTCAGAAGTATCTCAGAAGAAATCAAAGAAATATCTTAACCGATCGTTGATTATTTCGAGATATTTTGTCAAGGACTACCAAATCCCTAAATCAGTTAATTTTAGTGAATATTTTTCAAAGATAATCTGAGCCACAGTTGTAGATTTTTAAAGACTACTTTTCAGACACTACTAGAGCTATAAATTTGGATTTTAAGAACTATTTTTTCCATCAGATCCATCAGATACATAAACATGGATTTCTAAAGAATATTTTGTAAGGACTATAGTAGCCATACAACATAAATATGAATATTAAAAGAGTATTCTCAAGGATTACCAGATCCATAATTACAGATTGTTTGAGAATATTTATGAAAGACCACTACAGCCATAAACAGGAATATTTTCCAAGTCCTATCGGAGCAATAAACGGATTTTGTTATTATTTCTTTTTTAAAGTCATTAAACATGATTTTTTATAGAATATTTTTAAAGACCTGATCTGAGCTATAAATGTATTTCTAAGGAAAATTTTCCAAAATCTAACTGAGTCTCAAAACATGGACTTTTAATATTATTTAATATTAATATTCAAGGCCTTGAATGTTGGTTTTTAAGGACCGCCATAGCCTCAATTGTTTGGAATATTTTGTTTGGGACTTCCAAGCAATATGAATTGAGTTTCAAGTAATATATTTTAGAACTGTAAACATTGATTTTTTTAAGGCATAAGAGAAGAACTATCAGAGTCATAATACTAAATATTTAGGAAATACATTCCTATATTCATTCAACTCATAAACTTGAATAGATTATCAGGAATTATAGGATTTTTTAGAATACATTTTTTCAAGTACTACTAGAGCAATAAACCTGGATTTTAAGGAAGTTAGGGTTTTTTACAAATATTTCTTAGATCTGTCAGAGTGATAAACACGAAGAGATTTTTGGAAGATCTACCGGCCCCATAATCATAGATTCTTTCAAGAATATTTCAAAGGACTTTAATATGGAATATACACACACTATCAGGACAATAATCATGGATTTACAAAGAATGTTTTCTAAAATCTAAAAACCTGGATTTTTTGGAAGAATTTTTCAATAGCATGACTATACTCCTATACCAATTTCTAATAAAGGTCAACGTATTGACATAAGTGATATATAGATATAGTGATACCAACACATTTAATTTGTCTCAAACACCTTATACATATTTATTTTTAATTATTGAATATTTTTTAAAATCTTTTTTGGTAGAACTTGTCGTAGGTCCAAGGTTCTTATTATCATCCCAATTTCTGGCATTTTAAAGATTCTTTTCATATTTTTCAAGTGAATATTTAATAACTTAATACCTTGCTTTTAATGTTTAAAATACGGTTCCACAACTATACCTAATAGTGGCAGGGGTTTTGACATATGCAAACATTGCCCCATATTGTACATATTTTTGAAGCCATCAGCTATATTTTTTAGCTGATTCAATATAATTAAAGTTTTTCCTCATAGAAGATTTTTTTGTTAACAAATTTTATTTCGCTAATGTTTTTTTATTTACATTTTCAACAAGAAATATCAACATGACTAAAAAGTTTTCGAAACAAATACTAATCCTTTTGTACTATAGACCTCCAACAAATTTAATGAGCAACATAGTAGAAGAGGGGCTGAGGCACATATTGGGGTTGAACTTGGAGACGGGCAGGAACAGCCTTACGCAATTTAGCTGGGCGGGCAGCGCGAAGAGGTTTGCGCAATTTAGCTGAACGAACAGAAGATCTGCGAGCACCAGCACGACGGGCAGTCAAGCGGGCGGAGGCGATTTCTTCTTCGGTGGGAATATATTCTTCCTCAACAGCATTGACAACATCTTCTTCCTCCTCTGGTGGGCCATAGACTTCATCGGGGGTGAAGGGAGTTTCACCTTCAGCGGCAACAGGTGTGAAGGGAGTTTCTTCCTCAGGGGCAGCAGCAGGTGTAAATGAAGATTCATCTTCGCCAGCAGCAACAGGATTGAAGGGAGTTTGTCCTTCGGAGGCAACAGCTTCATCAAATGGTACTTCAGGTTTTAATTCATCAGCGGAGGGATAAGGAGTAACAGGTTCTTCCAATTCTTGACGAGCCAAGAAACGATTACGTCTTCCCTGGTAACGTCTTGGTTCGCCGGCCACCAAAGCTACAGCCAAGACGGCAACAAAAAGGATTTGCATAAATTTAGTCATTTTAGGTTTTTGATTTGTTATTCGGACAATCGATGACTGATGTTTGATTTGAATTGATTTGAACTATTTATACAAATCAAATTAAAGTCACATCTGCTGGGAGGGCGTGGTGTACAACTCGCTCAGCCGTAATTTATGCTAACTGACAGTTGTGTGTGTGTGCCCGTGTTTTAATTATTCATGGTGTCGGACAGGCAATACCACAACACATCAATGCTATTAATTACTTGGATGGGAACGGAAAGGTTTGAGTAGCACTTCCTATTGAAGCTCCTTCCTCAGTGTTTTCTGGGCAGAGTATCACAAAATGTAGGGTATTGGGGTGAATAACCGGGGGAATTTTGAGTGATTTTATCTATTCACGTGTTGGAAAAGTGTGCAATGGGTTTAAATGAAGTTGTTTTAAGTGTTGGGGTGCTATAAAAAAACTTTGGAGATATCATTATTTGAGGGCTCTACGAAGTCGTGGGCCGACATGACATTACGAACTTAACCTGCCTTCTGGCAAAATACACATGTGTGCAATACTTAAACCTTTTATCTCATTTATTTTGAAATATAGCGTGATTACAACAGACAGAGAGACGGACATCGCTAAATTTTGAATTTTACGCTGATCCAGAATATATATACTTTGTAGGGTCTATTATGAATATTTCGAGGAGTTACAAAAAATAAATATCAACTCATTTTATATTTATCTATAAATTGTGGATCGAGATAAAATTCGAACATCAGATAGAGCCCACACAAATTCAAGCAGAGCTTTAACATTTTGCAGATAAATTGGTAAAATTCTCCAGTCAAAGTTTCCCAACGGAATGACTGTAATTTGACAATATGGATCCGTAGTGGATACAAGATTTACTTAGAAGTTCAAAAATATAGGCCTACGTTTTGACATTAGTGCCATGTATCGATATCAGGTTTTTTTTATACCCTTCCCCCTTTTATATTGTATGGAGGGTATATTAAGTTCGGCATTCCGTTTGTGACTCATCGAAATAATATTCTTAGACCCAACAAAGTATATATTCTTGATCAACGTAAAATTCTAAGACGATGTAGCCTTTACCGTCCGTCCATCTATTCGGCTGTTGTAATCACGCTACAGTCAAAACGAATTAAGATAGAAAGCTAAAATTTTGCACAGGTCTGTCTTTTTTCTGCAGGCAGGTCAAGTTCGAAGATGGACTATATCAACCCATGATATCGTATAGCCCCCATATAACAGTACCCCCCGATATTCGGTATTTTGGTGATTTTAGCCACATTTTTCAATGCAATTGTCTGAAAATTCGCACAAGGAGTTCCTTGTGAGTATTTTATGCCCTTGAAGAGAATTATCTATATAGGTCCACGATATCGTGTAGCCCCCATATTCGATATTTTGATGATTTTAGCTTCATTTTTCAATGAAATTGTCTGAAAATTTTCACAAAGATTTTCTTGTGACTATTTTACCCTCTGGAAGAGAACTATCTATATCGGCCCAGGATATCGTATAGCCCCCATATAACGGTACCCCCCGATATTCGGTATTTTGATAATTTTAGCCACATTTTTCAATGGAATTGTCTACAATTCTACACAAGGAGTTCTTTGTGAGTATTTTACCCCCAGAAATAGATTTGTCTATATAGGTCCACATCCCGCATATATCGGCACCTTCCAATATTCGGTATTTATAAAATTTTAACAGAATTTTTTATGGATTCTATTTTTTTTGAAAACTTCCAAAATCGTTCCAAATGCTGGAGGGTATTCAAAGTTCGGCCCGGTCGAACTTACTGCTATTTTACTTGTTATTTTAACGTTATAGGCACATTTCTCAGTCTAAGAAGACGGTAACATATTGAACAAACAATCAACAAAAACAATTGAATATTTCAGAAAGCCAAAAATAAAAACTGTGGGATAAAGCTAACACAAATAAAACTCTACAAAAATAAAAAAAAAATCTATTTTTTTTTTCATTATTTTTTCGAACATTTTTGACGAACCAGTATCTCAGAAGTAGAATTTACACAGAGCTCTAATATTTCCCAAAAAATTGATTTTATTTTCGTTATGCTTCAAAAAACAACAGGTATTTAATTCAATTTAACAAAATATGTATTTATTTTTAAAATTTCAACTAAAACATTCACATGACCACAATTGGTCTAAAAACAATAATCCTTCATTTAATTGTCCTTTTTTATTTTAGTGAGCGATGTAGTAGAAGAGGGGCTGGGGAACATATTGGGGTTGAGCTTGGAGACGAGCTGGGGCAGCCTTACGCAATTTGGCTGGTTGAGCACGGACAGGTTTACGCAATTTGGCTGGACGAGCAGCAACTCTACGGGCACCAGCACGACGAGAAGTTAAACGAGCAGAAGCGGGGGTATCCTCTGGTGGGCCATAAACTTCATCGGGTGTGAAGGGAGTTTCACCTTCAGCGGCAACGGGTGTAAAGGAAGATTCACCATCAGCGCCAACTGGAGTGAAGGAAGATTCGTCTTCGCCAGCAACAGGTGTGAAGGGAGATTCGCCATCAGCGCCAACAGGTGTGAATGGAGTTTCATCTTCACCAGCTACGGGTGTAAAGGAAGATTCACCTTCGCCAGCAGCAACAGGATTGAAAGGAGATTGTCCCTCGGAGGCAACAGCTTCATCGAATGGCACTTCGGGTTTCAATTCATCGGCCGAGGGATAAGGAGTAACAGGTTCTTCCAATTCCTGACGAGCCAAGAAACGATTACGTCTTCCCTGGAAACGTCTAGGTTCGCCGGCAACCAAAGCCACAGCCAAGAAGGCCACCAAAAGGATTTGCATAAATTTAGCCATGTTAGGTTTTGATTTGTTGTTTGGACAAACGATAACTGATGTTTCATTCGAAATAAAATGAACTATTTATACTAATCGAATTAAACACCCTCCATTTGGCCGGAGTGGGTGTGAACAGCTAGTCATGCGGTAATTTATGCTGTGTGTGCGGGTGTTTCAATTATTCATGATGTTGGCGGCCGACGATATTAATTGGGTGTTAAAATCACGACAATATGCATTAATTATTCTTCCTATGAGTTCTGCACACCTTCCGTAAGGTTCGTGAGTAACGAGAAATCCAAACCACTGAACAGAGAAATAGGTTGAATAACCTAAAAATTGTGCTACAAATTAGAATTGGGAATGTGCATTATTTGTATTGAAAATTCAAATGAACAATTTAGTAAAAGTGAAATTAGGAATTAAAAATGAAAACCGACAAATAAAAACAAAACTAATGTGTCGGTCTAAGTCATTGGCGCCTAATTTAGTTACTTCAGATTGATATTATTAATTTCGATTTATTTATTTCATATTCTTTGTTTTCGCGTTAAGAATTCTTGAAATCCTTATGATTAAGGTACAAAGTGTCTTGGCAATGTACGAGGATTATTTTCTTTGAAATTTTCAATTATAACGAGAGTGACCAACGGATACTTTTTGTTTTTTTTTTTTTTTTTTTCAAAAAATAATAAAAACTTAATTTAAACGCGATAGCAGCAGGTCAAAATATTCTGCACAATAGGAACCTCTTTTCTACACAGAGTGATTTGACAAGGCAAGTTTCAGAAAATGCAGAGATGGATGATGGATGGATGCAGATGCTTGTTTGAAATGATATTAAAACAGGTTCTACCATGATTCTACTGTAGGTATTAGGATAGGTCATAACCCTGAATCATAACGTCTATCGTACCTAATTGTGGTACATGCAAAATTCTCATATAAAATATAAGTTTTGAAACGTGGTGATGATGGCTGGAGAGCGTAACGGGTTAGGCCCTAGGTCTCTTTGGACTAAATCTAATTCAAGACATTTGGAGAACTAGCGATATCCCTCCGTCCTTCCGCCGTCTGTCTGACTGGTTCCCACGATAACTCTCGATCGTGGGAGATCTGAGAGATCTGAGATGGGCAACATCGGTCCACTCCTTCTGGTACGTCTCCCACAAAAGGTCGAAGTTTTCAAAAAAAAAAAAAATTGTACTGCACAGAAAGTGAAAGGACAATTCGATTTTGCTCCAACTTCTAATATTTGCATCAGTACTAGGTCAGGTGCAAATATAAAAACTATCGGTTCACTCCATCAAGTACCTCCCCCACAAAGGGTCAACATTTTGAATAATTATAACTCTTAAAAAATATTATGTAAGACTCCGATTGTCTTCAAATCACACACATCACAATATTTTTATTAACCCATAGTCTGGTGTGAATATGGAATGTATCGGCCCACTCTTCTGGTAACTCCCCTACAACATTTTGTCAACATTTTGAATACCCATGAAGCTCATACAATGCGAAATTAACATCCGATTCCATTCGGACTTGGTACATCTTAATATTTCCATCAACACAAGATCTGTTATAAAGGTGGTAGAGATCGGACCATTCCTTCTGGTACCTCCCCCATAAAGGGTCAGCGTTTTGAATAACCAAAACGATCATAAAATCCGAAATAAGCATCCGGTTCTCTTCATATTTCATACATTTCATTATTTCTATTAACACAAGATATGCTGTGAAGATGGGATATATCGGTCCACTCCTTATGGTACCCCCCCACAAAGGATCAAAATTTTGAACATCCATTAATCTCAGAAAACTCAAAATTAATATTCGATGTCATTCAGACTTGGTACATCTCAATATTTCCATCAACCCAGGATGGTAGAGATCGGACCATTTCTTCTGGTACCTTCCACAACAAGGGTTCAAGATTTTTTTCTTGTGACAAGATTTAGATTTAGGTCAAAATATCCTGAAAATGTATACATTCTATTATATATTTTCAAGATTATTATATATTTCCAGATTGACTCCATTGTAATCTTGTTTGTTCCAATATCCTTTTTTTTATTATTTTTTTTTAATTTTATTCAATTACCAAATAAGAGTAAAATTCAACTATAACAACAATTTATTCTTTGCATCCTGAAGCTTTGTGAACTTATTGGGAAATGTAATAGAAGATGGGTTGAGGAACATATTGTGGTTGGACTTGGAGACGAGCTGGTGCAGCTTTACGCAATTTAGCTGGGCTGGCACGAACAGGTTTGCGCAATTTAGCTGAACGAACAGCAGCTCTGCGAGCACCAGCACGGCGGGCAGTCAAGCGAGCCGAGGCTATTTCTTCTTCAGTTGGAACATATTCTTCCTCAACAGCATTGACGTTTTCTTCTTCTTCTGGTGGGCCATAGACCTCATCGGGAGTGAAGGGAGTTTCGCCTTCAGCAGCAGCAGCAGGGATGAAGGTATTATCATCATCAGTTCCAACAGGGTTGAATGGTGTTTCTCCATTTCCGGCAACAGGGGTGAAAGGGGTTTCACCTTCGCCAGCAACAGGATTGGAGGGAATTTGTCCTTCGGAGGCAACAGCTTCATCGAATGGCACCTCGGGTTTCAATTCATCAGCCGAGGGATAAGGAGTAACAGGTTCTTCCAATTCCTGACGAGCCAAGAAACGTCTTGGTTCGCCGGCCACCAAAGCCACAGCCAAGAGGGCAACAAAAAGGATTTGCATAAATTTAGCCATTTTAGATTCTGATTTGTTATTTGGACAATTGATAACTGATGTTCCATTTGATATGAAATCAACTATTTATACAAACAGCAAGTTCGAATGAATAGCCCTGCGCTGAGGTTCGCCATTACTGTATGGAATATTAACTGATGTGTTGTTGGGCGTTTGGTTGGTCGGTTGATTCGCTTTAATTTAATTCAATGCGAACTACAATGCCACACTCATTGACAATATTTGAGGGTGTCTAATGCATAACGCTGGCTGACATTGTGCGGTGGAACTTCATATGACTATTATTTCCGTAATATTTTCAAATATTTGATATCGATTTTTATTTTTCATGAAAAGGGGTTAATAACCTGACATTCAATGTTTCAAGTCCAAACAGATGTGGTGAAGGAAAATTTAACACTTTCGCCGTGATCCATATTTTTCTAAATTCGAAAAAAATCGTCACTCGCTACCTGAGCAATACAGATCGATTGGTCTTTCTTCCCTTTTTTCTTAGACCCTTGGTGATACTACCTAACGGCGAAATTGGTGAAACTACTTTACATTAAATCATTGGTTATCAGTGATGATTGACTTGAATTACACGGCACACGAAAAAATTGAAACGAAAAACTAATTACGTCCATATAATCAGATGATCTCAAGGTCAGGTGTACAACATAGACCAGGTGGAGACCAGTGAGTTTATGTAGACGAGCTACAGGCCAGATAGTCGATTAAGACAAGCTCTAGGCAAGTCTATATGGACGAGCTTTAGGACTTGATTTGATGTAGGCCAGGGAGTCTGTATAGACAACTTGGAGACCAGGGATTTTATATAGACGAGATAGAGGCCAGAAAATTCATTAAGACGAGATGAAGGCCAGGGTGTCTATATAGACGAGTTGGAAGCCAGAAAGTCTAGGGAGATAAATGACAGGTCAGGGTGCTTGCATAGGCGAGTTGCAGCTATTTAGATGCCAGGGAATCTACACAGCCGAGCTGCAGGCCAGGAAATCTATTTAGACGAGCTAAATGACAGTCTTGATAGATGAGATAGATGCCAGGGAGCCCTAATAGACGAGCTGGAGGTCAGGGAGTCCTAATAGAGTCCTACGAGCTGGTGGTCAGGGAGTCCTAATAGAGGAGTTGGAGACCAGGGAGTCTTAATAGACGAACTGGAGGCCAGAGTGTCTTAATGGACGAACTGGAGGCCAGAGTGTCTTAATAGACGACCTGGAGACCAGAGAATCTTAATAGACGACCTGGAGGCCAGGGAGGCTTAATAGACTAGCTAGAGGCCCTTAAGTCTATATACACAACGGGTCGAGGAGATTCTCTCTATGGCCCGGGGCGATTCCCCCTATAGCCCGGGGGGGGGGGGATTCCCCCTATGGTCCAGGGGGGGTTCCCGGGCCCAAGGGAGGTTTCCTCCGAATTAAATGGATCCGAATTAAATGGTCCCATCATCCATTCACGTGACCATATTTCTGCTACTTCATTGATCCGGGGAGATCAATACATAGTCAAACCCGTTCTAAGTTCAGTGAAAGAAAGCTATGGAGATAAAGCCCGAAGGTTCATTGAATAAAATATCAAGCTCAACCTGACAGGTTTCTTAATCCGATAACAAAACGATTATAGTGTGTGTTATTGCCAGACCCTGTCGCATAAAATCTATGACTAGACTACTAAAGGGGATGTGACCCATCCCAAATAGTGAGAATGAGAAGAAAAAAATTGAGCAGCTTTGATATTGATGTCCTAAACGGTCGCTGATATTTACAAAAGTTTGAAGCTTGTTTGTACTACAATAACAATTCGTTAGGGTCTGTTCCTTTGAGATAAGATCTAGTTTGAGTTAAAAATGTAAAAGTTGCTACTACGATAACCGATTATCCCTTTATAAGATCGAAAAAATTGCCAAACTAGTACATTCTTGCAGGTTCTGGAACAGACCAAATACGTTTCCTTAATTTCTTACGTGGAATAAAAATCATAAATGAGAGAGGAACATGTCAGGAAGATCTCAGAACTATAATCTATGCCAGTATAAGTATTTTATGTTCCCTACGATACTTCCTTTACTGTTATTTTCAAAGGATGAACACAATGCGTCACTGGTATCAAAAGGAAGTTGCGGCTTTCTATTCACCTTACCTTATTGAGTGGCCAAATAACAATTGGGACCTTAGAATTCAAAACTCGTCTTTGATTTACTTCTCCATTTGGTACTTTTCCATCCGTTTGTGAATAAAATTGTACACCCTTAATAAAAACGATAGGCATTTTTTTAATATTATTTTTTTTATTTTTTTACAGATTAGTATTTTGTAATTAATAACCTAAACAAATGTTAACAGGGCTAATTGCGATCTTAATTTATGGAAACAATAAAAATGATGTCAGTCTGAGACAGTTTAGTTAGAATCTCTCAAAACTTATTGAGCTACATAGAAGAAGACGGGCTGGGCAACGAAAGGACGTTGGAGACGAGCTGGAGCAGCTTTGCGCAATTTAGCGGGACGGGCAGCAAAACGGCGAGCACCAGCACGACGGGCAGTTAAGCGGGCAGATTCAACAGCTTCTTCCTCTTCGGCGGCAGCGGCTTCTTCAGCAGCAACAGCTTCTTCTTCCTCAGCGACAGCAACGGCTTCCTCTTCTTCCTCTTCGGCAGTTGGGACAATATCATCAGTTTCGGCAGGCAAATCCTGTTCTGGAGGACCATAGACTTCATCGGGTTGATTGGGAGTAATTTGTTCGGGAGCTTCAGCTTCATTGAATGGCACTTCGGGTTTCAATTCATCAGCTGATGGATAGGGTGTGACAGCCTCCTCAGCCACTTCTTGACGGGCCAAGAAACGGTTGCGTCTTCCTTGGAAACGTCTGCGGGGTGCCTCAGCGGAGACCAAAGCAATGGCCAAGAAGGCAACGAAAAGGATTTGCATGAATTTAGCCATGTTTTGTTTGAGTTTAGGTTATTCGATTGGATAGCAAACAACTGATGTTGGGTTCTATACGATATCAAGTATTTATATGAAGCTTCTATTCTTAAGAACATTAACGAATTAATCACCTTCGTGTGTGTGTGTACGTATTTTTATGCTTTGTAAATACTAAGGCCGGCAGTTAGTTCTGGCTGCGGTTGTCACCGTGGTCGCGTTTGTGTTTTTTTGGACCTGATTGGAATAATTTAATAATTCCATGAGGTTTCGTACAACAACCCTTAGTTCAATAGTGACCGGAACATTGTTGAGTTTTTTTTTCAAAATTGTCAGTTGGTGAAGCAGGCATAGAAGATTTATGTAGCTATTAGCATGAAGTGGGTTACAAAAATTCTGGAACATGAGTTCTTAAAAATAGTATCTGATGCGAAGAATACAAATTATTGTTTACAATTGTTAATGTCTAAATGTCACGTCTCAGTTTTATTTTTAGAATAGTTACGAAGCTATTTTCCATTACATAACCTGTAAATGTGAAAATCAGAAATCGAAATTGAATGAGTAATACTTTTTGGGGTCAGCAGTGAAAAGTGAAATAATCGAAGTTTTAACCAAAGTCGTTTTGGTGTACTGAAGCAAACATTTGTTAAATTTTATGGGTAGGTGCATGGAAAAGTTAACGGAACATTAAAAGAAAACAATAATACTTAAAATTAAAATGTAATTCTAAACCGCTAGCATCCTCTTATATGGGTTGAAGTGGAAATAATTCGGAAATGTTTGTGTCCAAAAAATAACAATATTTTTGTCCAGACAGTTCTGTAAAATATCCAAAAATTCCCAATGGTTTGGTATAGCCATTATATAAAGGTTTAATTATTGCAATGATCGTGGCCATATTTCCGAATCCCGATTTGGGTTTAGCTTGTGTTCAAAAAAAAAAAAACATTTTTTTGGCCTCGAAATAACTGAAATAAAGGGTACCTTTTTACAAGCTCTGTACCAAAGCGTGGATCAATATTGACAATATTTTGCTTGTAGCGTTAAAAAAAACAAGAACTCAGAATAAAAAAAACATTGGCGAAAGTAAATGAAAAATGTTCAAAATATTTGATATCGGTGATTACTAAAAAGTGGACCGAATATTTAAGCAATAAATATGGGTGACCCTCTGTATGTGGTCAAGGTGTAATAAAGGCTTTGAAAAAGTTGGCTCAATAACCCAAACCTCATTTGGGTGTTTGATCTAAAAACCGAGTTTTATCAAATCCTCTTAGAATTCTCCATAACTCAGACTGACCATGAAATTAAAAGAATTTCGGAAATACGGGTGAGATTAAAAAACTGCAACAAAGTCAAACTCCATAATTTTTACATTTTTTTTTTAATTTTGTTAAATGAATGCAAAAAATGTCGGAAATAGCATGCAATTTTAGAATAAGTTTAGATTTGTTCGTCAAAAAGTCACCTTTGGCACGATTTATGGTCTTCAAACGGCCAATGAAACCGTAACACGCTGCCCAAATATTGCTCTGCGGTATTTTGCTTCATTCCCGGCGAAACGCTTGCTTGAGATGATCGACACTTTGGTATTTTTTAGTGCCAAACTTGCTTTCCAAAATACTCCAGACACAATAGTCCAACATATTGGTATCCGGAGATTTTGGAGGCAATTGTACGCTGGAAATGAATAGAGGGACCTCATGTTGTAACCATTCTTGGGTGGCGCGTGCTGAGTGCGATGGTGCTGAGTCCTGTTTGAATGTCCAAGGTCTGCGGCCAAAATGTTTGCGTGTCCACGGCTTTAAAACACCCTCCAGAATATATTCGTGATAATATTCGACATTTATTCTGATGCCACGGTCGATTAATACGAGCGGAGAGCGACTATCTGTTTTTATGGCGGCCCACACCATCACCATGGCCGGTGCAATTTGCACCTGGTGACCAACCGAAGGTGCTCATTTTCAGCTGACCTCTTTGGCAAGTAAACACGATCATTTTTTTTTTGTTTACAAACTGCGAACGTTTTCTCATCGGAGAAAACTAAATTCGCCAGTTCACCACTTTCGGCTTTAGCTCTTTTAAGTCTATTTTCTTTCTGGTGTTGTGTAAGTTCTTGCACTTTTTGGAATTTCAATGGCTTTACCCCGAGCTTATTTTTCAATATTTGCCGAATGGAATATTGCGATATGTTCAGCTCGCAAACCATTTTTCGGCCACTGTTGCTGTTTTTTCCACCCACTTCCTTGACGTCGGGCTACTCTACCAGTATCACGCTAACGAGCGATGGTACGATACATAAAGATTTATTCACATTTAAATGCTGGAGTGCTCTAACGATAGCCACTTGTGGGTTTTCAGCCAAATATAAAGAAATCACCCTATTACGCTTGAATTCCACCACGAATAACTTTTTTTCGGGAAAAATCTCACCAAAATGCTTTTGTTCGCTTGTAAACAATATAATGAGCTATCACTGGAATAATTTTAAGAGCTGTCGGACGAGTGGCTTAGAAATGACAGCAGTCTGAAGTTGGTTGCAGGTTTTTCATCTCACCTTAAATGGATGGAATCCGAAAATGTGGATGAGGATGATGGATGATGCGATGTAAAATTTCAAAACGCCAATACACGTGTCTTCTTTTTAGCCTTACTTTCGAATCTGCTGATCTGATGTTTCCCGTAATTATTGAAAAAAATAATTTTTGTACCTTTAATTAAATCTTTGTTCTGTTTCAGAACTGGGAATTGTAAAATTGTTTTTACCAGGATAATCGATTTTTCCTTTATGATCTCGAATAAAATTGTAAAAGATTCTTAGTGCGGGAAGAGATCATTTGTGTAATTATTAAAGCTCTCCCCTATCCTAACTTAAAAAAAATAAAATCTTAAATCTCTAATAGACTATGAAAAAGCGCTGCCTAAAATCTTTATTTGGGGGATGTGTCAATCCTGTCGTCCTGTGGCCTAGTAATGTAACAATTTTTTGATTTAAGGAAACAATGATTTGGAACTATAATTTTCCAATTGGTCTTGCACAGTTCCTTCATTTCTAATATTGAAATACTATATTGGAAAATTCATAGAGATTTTGTTATCTTCTAGTAATAAAGAAGCTCTGGGCGAGGAATCCTGTTCCCCAAAATTAAAATATGTTTTTTTCAAATTTCTGTACAAAATATTTGTATTCATTTATTTCATTTCGTATGGGTCGTTAGTAGGGTGTTTAGTAGATTTTTTTACCTAAGTTCTTCAACATGACTAAATTAGATGTGGGCGTGTTCAAAACTACCAAAGTTTCAGCTAATAACACATCGACGTAAGCATTGAACTCTTCTCCTTCTCCAATCAATTATCACAGTTTGCCATTGCTTGGTTTATTTATTGACGCTTAGCTTGGAAACGGGCGGGCACAGCTTTGCGCAATTTAGCGGGACGGGCAGCAACCTTGCGGCGAGAAGTCAAACGAGCTGGAGCTTCTTCTTCGGCAGCGGGAGCGGCAGCAGCTTCTTCTTCAGCAACGGGAGCCTCGGCTTCAACTTCAGCTTCAGCGGGGGCAACATCATCGGTGGAAGCGGGAGCGTCTTGTTCTGGTGGGCCATAGACTTCATCGGGTTGGTTGGGGGCTTGTTCAGCTTCTTCGGGAGTGGAGGCGGCGGCTTCATCGAAAGGAACCTCGGGTTTCAATTCATCGGCACTGGGATAGGGAGTGACAACATCGGGTTCGGCAGCAACTTCTTGGCGGGCCAAGAAACGGGTGCGCTTGGCCTGGAAGCGGGCATTGCGGGAACGAGGGGCTTCGGCGGAACACAAGGCAATGGCCAAGAAGGCAACGAAAAGGATTTGCACGAATTTAGCCATGTTAATGGTTTAGGTTGTTAATTGGCTGACTAGAAGACAACTGATGCCGGTTGACCACCGCCAGAGGCTATTTATATGAAAATGACGAGCTTAGAAACCCCAGCGAATTAATTGCCGAATTCAACGCTGCATTTTAATATCCGATTTTAATATTTCTTCTAGTTCTGGTGATGGCAATGCCAAGCTGGCTAGCTAACAGCAGCGGCAAGTGCGAAAAACATGTTTGGCATAATTTAAGAATTTCGCCACCATCAACGAGCGAAAATAGCAAAGAAAAAAAAAACTACCCCCCACAAGTCACGCTCACTCACACACACAGGGTACAGTCAGCTCACCTCGTGGTTAAATAAATAAAATTCTAGACAGGCCTAAACTATTTTTGGTTAGAACATCCGTCGCTTGTTGTTTGCAAATGGTCCCCCGCCCAGAGAACTAATCACAATTCAAGACATCTTCAGTTGACCAGCCAACGTTTTATTTGGCTTCTCAGAAATTTCCGAAGCGGATGGCGACTTGTTTTGTTCTTTTTGGCAAAAAAAATACAAAATGGAGAATAATTTTTGTGGGGATTTTGTAGGTGTCATTATAAATGCAATTCAAATTCTATTTTGCCAAATTTAGAAGGGGGAGGGAGTTCGAATAACTAATTGATCGTTTCAAATTGTGTCCATGCCATGTTAAGTGAAATGAATTCATTTCCGTATATTAAACCGCCTCACTGGCCTTGCTTCCCTTTTCTTCTTCTCACTGAAAATCTATAAAAGAACCAAATCAAGGTTTCGAAAATTCAGTTTATTGCTTGGTCATATATGGTGGCGGATGGATGGAGGGAATTTTTAAACTCTTAAACTTGCGGTTACAGTTGGTACATATCATTTGATGTGGTCCGAACAATGTTTGAAAAGCCTATGCCGCTTTGAATTTTACTCGTTCCAGATCATGGCCCAATTATAAGGTCTTCCTTCGAGCGAATTAATCTAAAAACAGCTGTTATTTTACTACATGAAATGTCAAAATGAATGCTTGAGGCGAAAATAATATTTTCGCCTTGACAGAAGATTTTTGTGGCGAATACGTTTGCTGTCAATTTTTTGTATGTATAACACATGGTAGAAAAATACAGATAGACAATGAACTGACATACTGACTTTGAATATAAAAATGTTGAATAAAAAATTGTTGATATTTGCAAAAATTGTTGAAAAATTCATAACAACCTCCGATTGGTGCCATATAAGAAAACTTATAAAATGTACTTATTTTTGAAAAAGAAAAAATATTTTAACAATTTTGACTTATCAATGTTCCCAAGCGTTGATGCATCTACCTATATTTTTTGGTTGCAGCGAATTCAAATTTAATTGACAGATCGTGAAGTAATCAGCTGAGCTAGAAGGTGGACCTTATACTTGGATCATGTTCCAGATCATTTGGGTCTATTTCGGTCTGTTGACGAATACAAATAGGGATACGTAGGTCGACTTTCGGTTAATCAATTTTGGTTGTTGTAAAGGGTGAAACAGATCAACGCTTAAGTCATGACTTCGGCGTTGAAAATACAACATTGTTGCCTTTCTTGTCAGTTACAAGTGACAACAGTGTTGTATTTTCAGGCCGAACCCATGATTTAAGCTTTGATCTGTCTAGCCTTAATATCTACGACTTTTCGTAATCGATTTTCGATTTTGAGTTTACAGACCCTTATTTGACATGTGTATCGGCCTAATAAGAGCTTACATTATAAAGGTACCAAAACGGTTGAGCGTGGAGGCAAGTTCTCCCCTCATATACATTTTTTGAAATGTTGAGATTAATATTATTCTGAATCCGTGTATTTTGAGAAACAGAGTCTTCAGCAAAAATACTGATAACAATACGAGGACAATTTTGTTAAAAAAATTGTAACCCCCAGCGAAACACGAAAATTGTCTTCTTGGTTCTTATTTAAAAATAGAGCTAAGAATTTCCTTTTAACGATTTAACGAAGACAGTCAAAATATTCTACGAATATATTTTTCATAAAATTCCACTATAGGTGTCAGAATACATCAAGAGTCTACATATATTACCCCAACGCCAGGAATCCAAAACACGCTTTGGGGTTAAAATCCTACATTTTGTGAATTTATGAAAAATTCCCCAACAAATCATCATTTTAGAGAGATGGCATCAAAGACAAAAATATTCCTCATTAAATTTCACCATGAGTCACAGAAGAAATTTTCTATTTCCTTAACATATCAAGAAAAAGTTTGCCTCAATGTTGCCAAAAAATACGAAAATATTTTCTTATTTATTGCTTATTTTTTCTTTTTTCTTGGATTTGACGCATGAAAGTAACAGAAAAAGAAAGTGTCAAAGGAAGAAATATTCTCTACAAAATTTCACCATAAATCTCAGAATAAAGCATATACCTAGGCTTAATAGGTTTTAAGAAAATAACATTCGAAATTTATATATTTCAAGTCCATATTATGTGTTTACGTTTTTTTACTGCCAATTTGACACGACCCCATTCTAAGTCAAAATCTTCCTTACGACTGCATTTTTTGAGCAAAGTCTCAAAGGGAGAAATATTTTACATCAAATTTCATTATGAGTATCTGAACAAAAGTAAGGCCTATAATATGCAGGGACGAACTGAGGGTGGGAGTACTAGGGAGCTCAGACCATCTCTGAAATGGCAACTTTTGTGTTATTTTCTGCATATTTTAAACGGATAAGTTTACATACTGAGACCATCCGAAATCGTTTCGAAATGAATTTTGGAGTGCTTCCGTAGGAATATTATATCTGGGTCAGGTGTGGAAATGGTCTGCAATGACCGACTCCTTCTAGGCTTCCCCCTAAAAAGGATCGAATTTTTGATTAAAATAGGCATAGCTAAAATAATGTTTTAGGTGAGTCTTCGATCAGGTGAAAAGTCTTAATAAATCGCCTCAAAATCAAACTTTGAAAATTTCAAAATATATTTTTTAAACACATCCATCCTTCTTTCAGACCTGTTATGTTTTTAAAATCCACGAATTCGAAACAAACAAAATAAATCCCTTTTCACTTCGTCACTACTAATATCGCTATCCTTGATATCCTTTTTCATACCTTAAGGCTACCTAATATCGATAGAGATATTTATGTATGCTCACGGACGTACACTCATTGCAATTCATCTTCAAATGAAACTGTTCATTTTATTTTGAAATCCTATTAAGTTATAATGCACATTTATCAACATTTTCTATGCTCAAGATCCTTGTTCCAACAAATGGGCAGGGGTTAGTAAAACAGAGTGTATCTCTCTGTGCATGTGTGTGTTTGTATAGAAGTCAATGGTGGTAGCTCCATTGAATATAAACAGGATTTGGAAAAGACAAAAAATGGAAAAAAAATAATCAGGATGAAGGGCAAAATCCTTTCTATATTCTGCTCCATTATAAAACAGTTGTTGCTTTAGTAACCAAAACAACCAACTAACAGGACTAAGAAAAAAAATAACTACCAGAACAACTAGTAGTAGAAGAAGAAGAAGAATTAAATTGCATTGTCATGCTAAAGCCAAACAAATTTATGCTCCCCAAAGACATAATAACAATGATAATTGGATGCTTGCCAATGATATGCATTTCACCATTTACACAGGCGCACACACACACACACTCACATGCTCACACATACTCAGCCACAGTCATGGCCACCAAAAACACACATACACACACACTCATACCCAAAGAACAAAAGGATGGCCATAACGCACATTTACACTAAATCCCCAACACACACACACGCGCGGGCACACCCACACACACATTCAAAGCCCCATCACAGATAAAGATCATCCATAAAGTGAAAAAGTGGATTGAGCCACACAACCACCCACCTACCACAAGGACTCAAGGAAAATAATAGCTCAGCTAGAACACGCCACCTAACAGCATAGCTACCGACTGAACGACCGACCGCCTGCATTTTGTCTGCATTATAGCTGAGTGAGTTTGCTTCTTCATCTTTCATTTAGCATAAGGACACTCAGACAAAGGCAAGCAACAACAGCAGCAACAACTCAGCTCGAGAGTGTAATGCATCACATGGAGAGCCATCCATGGAAAAGCTCCTGGCTGCTAGCTGGTCACGTTGTAAATCCAACGAAACAAATTTGAGTGACTGTGGGTGTGTGTCTTTTGATTTATCTACATGTGTATGTGTGTGGGTGTGCGTGCGTGTGTGTGTTTTACTGGACACAAACAACCCAGTGTCTGGACAAACAAAGAACCCACCACCACCAGCAGCTACAATCAAACTGAGCCAAGTCTGTATTGTTGTAACAGTCTCAGGATATCAGAGATCATCATTTCAAGATTATTAAAATCAAACAAATGACTTTAACACAAAAGATGGATTTAATTTATTTATTTACAAACTGCTGGATTTCTACTTTGGAAGAGCAGACAGACAGACAGACAGACCTACAGACAACGAAATGAATTTCCAGATTCCAGGTGTCATGGGCATGGTTGGGTGTCAATGTGAAAAATACAATTTGAGAATCTTTTATTGTGTAAAAGTGGAGGACAAAGGAGGAAATGGTGTTGCAGGAGAAGAGTAGGCTAGAGCAAAGGTTTATTATTTAATTTAAGAATGATGCATTAATTTGTAAATGCACATATGGCGCCCAAAAGTATGCAACAAAAATTATAGCTTTGAAGAAGGATTCATTCGAATCTTACCTATTGCCATGGGTAAGTCTAGTTTAATCATTATCACTTAAGAATTATGTGTAAAATGGCTTTACATGTTTATATTTAACAAATTTATAGCATACCTATAGGCGCTCCAATAAATAATTAACTTTCAACCAGTAACAAAAGGACAAAAGCCTGACGGGGCCGACTATACAAGCTCCACACCGGTAGGCATCAAGAAAACATATATGAGGGTGCTATACACTAATTTGGCTGATGTGTTTCTAGGCTATATCGAATATCATTGCTATAGAGCCTATATCACGGCTTTCACAGGCTTTTATATGAAATCGCCTGAAAATATATACGGGAGCTAT